CAACAAATCATATTATTATTGTAATTAAATATATTACTTTTACTCTTCTTTTAGTAACAATATGTATATTTACTATTTTTTGTAAACAAGTTAATCCCCCTCATAATTTCCGATTACAGTGAAACGCAAAGAGTATTATTATTATTATTAAGTATACAATAAAAGGAGATCAAAGTAAGATATTATTTTAACTTAATTTTTTATATAAAGTGAATTTTTATTGAATTTTAAAATTACATTTGTAAAATTAAAACAAATTTATTATTAACATAATATCTATAATCAATATAAAAATATATAATTAAAAGAAGGGGAATTAAAAAATAATAATTTTAAAAAGAAAATTTATAATTAGGTATGGTCGGCGGGACTTACCATGTATGGTATGGATATGCAGTTGGAACGACAGACTTCAATTGATATTATTTGACAAAGGTAGAAGCCTTCTTTTTGATCACCTGTGATTAAACGTAATCTTTGCCCTATTGTTTTGAATAATTTAAGGGCTTGGGTCCAATGATCCACAGGTATCTGTGACTACCGGAACAAACAAAACATTATTAAGGTTGCAATATTTATTAGTTTTTGTACTATCCGCTTTCATGATGGAGATGACAGAAAAAGATCTGGCAAAACGATCCACACATGTACTATCCCTAGCAAGAGGTACTGGTTCCATGGGACTAGCGTCATTCCTGCAATACATGAACTTAAATATGGACAAAATATTAATAAAGATTCATGTTTAAATAATAAAAAGAAATTATGTTGTAAACATATAATTTGTGAACAAAAATGAAAACATTTTTCATCTTTAAAAATATATCAATTTAAATGTAATGCTATATTTAAAAAAATAAAAAATAGGCCCGGGCCGGGCCGTGTTTTACACATTTCTAATATAAATACCTTTTTTTATGGAAACTTTTAAAATGGTTCCAAATACATCGTCTAAAAATGGATTTAAATATAGATACATTTAGTCATGCAAAATATCCCCATTAAAACTGACTATTAAAAATGGTTAACTAAATATTTTGACAGAAAAAATATTCCCTAAGCCTCAAGATTTCGCGAATAGATGTCAAAACTTTATTTGCCATCTATGAGCAAAATCTTCAGGTTGCGTAATATATATCTGGATAAAATACTGAGTTAGCCATATTTAAAAATACTAAATAAATCGTTTAAAAACTTTTAAGAAATGTATCTCGAAACAGAAACTGGGTATGTAAAATTAAAATAATGATTTAGATTTAATAATTCACGTACAAATAAATAATTTGATTTTTTTATCACATAAGAAAACGTGGATCTTATCCAAAAACTTGGCTGTAAATTCTTAATTTTATTTTAAAAAACGAAAATAAAAACTATTTTTTAATTCAAGGTAATCAAGTTGGGAGTCTAAAGTAAAAAAAATGTAAAAACAGAAAAAATATCTTAATTAATAATAACTACTTTTAAATATTCGTCCTCTAGTCGACTCAAGTTCATATAACTATTAACCTATTATCAACTCAAGTATATAATTCTTATTCACTATTCAAGTGAGAAGTCTTAAGTAAAAAAAAATGTAAAAAACAGAACAAATATCTTAATTAATAATAATACATCTGTATTCGTCCTATAGTCGACTCAAGTTCATAGATATTTGTCCTCTAGTCGACTCATGTATATAGACTTGAGTTCCCTTCTCGACCCGAGTTCATAACTCAAGTCAGTTTGGGTCGATTATTTCGACCCAAAACTTGGCTCAGTTTTCGACTGAGTCGACATGGGCGTTTAAGTAAGTAGCTTTGCCTCTTGATCAGCGTCTATATGACAGGATTTTCACTGGATGCAAACCCTCCTCAAAAACCTCAGCCTACCCCCCTAAAAAAATTTGACGCCTTCGGCGGCATTATTTTTATATAAATATAAGTCTAAATATTTTATGAAATAATGATATATAGATTACAGGAAGAATATTTATTGGTATAAAAATTATCGAAATTTAAAAAATTATATATTTTAATATCCACATAATAATTTTATTTTATTTATAATTTTTTTAATGTTAAAAATAAATATAACATAAGGAATATAAACATCTTGATTTAATTAATAATCTATATGGTAGAATAAATGAATATTTCAGCCATCTTTTTGTTTCGGTCATTTTACTATCATTTATAATGTTTTCACCTGTAAACATATATTAAAATTAAGTTGTTAATAAAATTAATAACTTTCATCATATAAGGTATCATTTTTTCTAATATTGATTAAATCTTTACTATAAATGATTGATAAGGAATCTAAGTATAATGGTCTAAAATTGGAAAATTCATCTATAATTTTCTGTGCATCAAAGTTATATAAACACAATTTCAGATATCTGGGAAATTTATATATTCTCATTATCTGCTAATCCCGCAGGAGTAAAAATAGAAATCTGATTTAAAAAGTTTAATGATTCATATTTAAATCTTTCATTTAATTGTTCAATGATCATATTAATCACTGGGTAAAAATTTTCATTTTTATATCTAAAAAAATATATATTATTTTAAAATATACTTTTCATAAACATTTCTTTTTGTTGTTCAATATAATTATCAAACTCTTTTTGATCCAATTTAAATATTGACTTTATATTATAAATATCGGTTGTAACATTATTCTTATCCATAAATGATATAACATCAGTATGTAATGATGTTAATATATTATCACCATTTGCTTAATTAGAAAATGTAATTAAAATACATGAATAATAATTTACCCCTTAATCTTTGGAATTTATTTTTTGTATGTTGGATCAATTTAACCATCATTGCTAAATCATTTCCAATTGCCTGCATTTCAATGCAAGTTTCATGTGTACATTTTAAGATTATTCTTAAAATAAATAATCCTAAAATAAAATCATATCGTTTTATTCTAGATAGCAATCCCTCAGAAATTGAAAATGTGATTGCATCATTGGAATTGCTTAACTCTGTCAAGGAGGCTATTATATATTCATAAACATCTAAAAAAATTTGTAATGCTTTGAAAGATGATGCCCAATTTCTGAAAATAAATAAAATTCTTAAAAAAATTATATTTATTTACCTTGTTGTGTTGTTTATTCTTTTGAGAGATTTTTTGGTTTTTTGCATTTGAAATTTGGTAAAAACACCCTGGCGTTTAACTCCATTCATAAAATTATATAATTCATCTAAAATTCCCATAGTTTTTTTAATTTCATTCCCATATCCACATATACGAATAACAATTAAATTAAGCCTATGAGCATGGCACCAGACATAAATAGCTTTAGGAGCTTCTTTAAATATTAAAGCCTGTACTCCCTTATTAACACCTCTCATATTACTAGCACCATCCATACTTTGCCCAATCAGGTATTCTAGTGGAAGATGTAATGCCTTTAATTTAGTTAGAACATTATTTTTAATATTTTCTCCTGTTGTGTCAGAAGTTGTAAAAATATTAATGATTCTTTCTACTGGGTGTGGGTGTGGATATTCTTGTATATACCTTATAATTAAGGCAACATATTCCTTTTTTGAAATATCATATGTACCATCTAATATTAAGCTAAAGGCACAATTTGACATAATTTGTTTAATTATTTCATTCAATATTTTTATTATCTCAGCCAATTTTTTAACATGGCCATAGGATATGAAGTTTATTTGTGGCCTTAATATTTTATTACCACTTTTTCCTCGTGAACTACTATTTTTCTCTAGATATGATCTTAATACTGGAACATTCTTTGAGATCAAAGTTATAAGTCTTGAAAAATTACCATCATGAGAATTGCTTCCCCAAAAAGCAATATTGCCCCGTATTAAATACACAATAGCATCAATTATATTATGGATATTATAACGATTTTGGGTTATAATTTCCTCTCGGTTGAATAAAATGTGGTCATCAATACGCCCCCGAGAAATCCATGCCATATGTGCATATTCACAATCTGCATGAACAGGGGATGTTTCATGTCTCTCCATATCCCGGACTAAATTATTCCAGCTATCTGCACCTTTATGAGTCCATTGCATGCTTGCTTGATGACTTCCAAACATAATACAGAAGATACAGAATACTTTATCCAAAATAGAGCTATATGATAGCCATTTTCTTTGAGAAAATGATTTGTCATAATTTATTTTTTTATAATAGGCATCTTTCATGCTCCTACATTAAAAGCAATATATGAATATATACATAATTCTTGAATAATTAATAATACATAAGTAATATTGCAGCAATAATTTATTAAACCAACCTGTTATGAGTTTTTGGATAAATAAATTCATTGGAACTTGGTTGTAGTGGACCAAATTGAATTATAAAATCAATCATATTTTTTGTCATTCTAAATCTAAAAAAATGAAAGGGATCATTAGGATTCTTTTCCCTATATAAAGAAATAATATTTTCTTCATTATCTTCATATGATAAAGGAGTTATTTTAGCTTTGTTTAGTAACTGTATAATTTAAAATGTATAGATAGCTTAAGGTTATTACTTTATCTATATAAATTGATTCTAATGCTTGCATATCAATATCATCATTTTTACCAAATAATATTAAAATTATAAACTTCTTTAATTGTTGATAAATTTTCAGATATTTTTTCTGGGTTGTCTAAATTAGAACTTCTAGGCATATTTTCGATTTTCTATATTTTGAAAAGAGAATATTAATTTATTAAATTGTAAATGCTTTGTCAGATTCTTTAAAAATTTTTTTTTAAAAAAAATTATAGTACCCATGTTTCATCATCTAAGAATGGAATAATTTCTGGATAGGGAGCATCTAAATGAGATTGCTATTAATTTTAAATATAAAAAATGGTCATTTTTAATATTTTGAAATAATTACTACTTTGTCCTTAAAAATGAATGCAGTCTCCATATTATAAGTTTTCTTTAGATCAAATGAATAAATTATAGTATAAATACTTAAAAAAACTTCTTCATCTTGATTTAGTGTGATAATATTATGTAATGATTGTGGTAGATTTATCTTAAGAGTATCTAATGGAGAGTCAATTTCCTTAAAAGTGTTTAAAATTATATATTGATCACTTAAATATGATATAAAAAGCATGTATAAAAATCAAAAAATAGTTTAACCTTTTGAAAATATGTTGCAATTGATTTATTTTTTTTAAATTGAGTATTGATTCCATTAGTTATTTTGAGATTATTTGCATTTGGACCAAGTTTGTTCCAAACCTTATCTTTTTTAATTGCTATTACCTCAAACTTTACATCACTATTAGGATGTCTTGTTTTGTAATGTAAATTAATTTTGTCTTTTCTAATCTTATTGGAGTTGCAGCCTGTATGCAAGCATTTTACCTTGTAATTTATCTTATTGCTTGGCATCTGATTTAAAAAATTTATATCCATTTTAAAGATGATTTAATAAAAATATTTATAATTTAATGATGTAATAATATATTAATAATAAAATAGATGTTTTAAAAATGGTGTAATATGATTAAAATCTACCTATGAAAAGATTTTTATTATTATTTATAAATTCCATAAAAGAAGAAAAGGCAATTAAAATTCATAAATTATTAATATACTTTTTAGGAAAATATGGATGGCAAATATCTTCAAATATTGAAATATCTTTTTAAAATAACATATTTTCAAATAACATCAATTTGGATCATAAAATTGCATTATATATTTTTACGTGATACGTGATATATAGCGCTTTTGCCCTCTGACGTTGAAGATTCAACAGAGCTACGCTAGGTTTTCCTCATTTCCATCTAATTGGAACAATTTAATTTGGGTATAAAAATAAAAATATGAGGAGCCCTCCACACGTTTGTGGGCAAGCCGCACGTACTTGTAGGCGCAACATTCCGAAAAATATTACTTAAACCTCTATAGGCTTATACATAAGGGGCTGGGACAAAAAAAGAGCCTATACCCAATAACTACGGTGAAAGTTAATTACGTTGTGGTGGGTTGAGGACAATTTACCATTAAAAATCTTTACCATATTAAAACACTTTCTGGTAAGTAAAATAAAATATACTTATGAGAGGATTTGGATGTATGATGGTATTGGGAAAGTTTGATAATGATGAGTTTAAGTTTTTGAAATTTATTACGCTGGTAGTATACGATAGGATTAATGGGTGATGATAATGTAACATACATTCTGAGAATGTATTTTGTACTTAAGCTTTTCTTGATGCGAAATAGTTTTTTAATGGATCTTTTATTGTTATTCAGTCTAATGAATTGTTTCATGTTAACATTTAGATCCATTATATCTTTTATGGTTTTATAATACCATAATGATTTGTATTTTGTGTACTGTTTACCTTTATACGAGTACAGCCATGTTATGGCATCGTGGACTAAACTATTATCAGAGTTTCTTATTACATGGCCTAATAACTGGATCCGTCTTTTCTTAAGAGTAATATTCACTGGAGTGTGAGTAGACTTCCTCCAAAGATTCGAGTTAGAGATTACTCTTGGGTAGAAAATCCCATGTATCGTACGCAGACAATTATTTATGAAAGATTGAAGCCGTCTGATCTCTGTTTTGTTTGCCTCCCAGATATCTCCACCGTATAATGCGATTGGAACAATCAACGAGTTGAATATTCTCAATCTAGTAAACACTGAAATTTCGCTAGCTTTCCATATTTTCATATATCTGTAGAAAGCACCTCTAGCTTTCTGTATCCTCATCTTCATCTCGTCTTTACAACTACCTTTGTTATCCAAGATTACCCCTAAGTATTTTATATTCTCTACTATTTTCACTGTATTCCTTCCAAGTGTAAAATCGTGGATTGAAGGCGCGTTTGGGGAGGGAAGAATAACCGTTTTGTTAAAGTTGATCCTAAGGCCAACTCTATAGCTTACTGTTTCGATTAGATAAAGTAGATTTTTGGTCTCTTCAATACTTTTCGAAATCACTACAATATCGTCTGCATAGGATATTATCCTGTTAGCGAAAAAAATTTTCTCATTAGATCCTATGTCTACTAGATCTGCAGCTCCTAATACTTCTTTTATTATTTTATTGATGATTATGTTGAACAGGAGAGGTGAGAGGGTACAGCCCTGTTTTACTCCTTTCTTAATCCTGAAAAAGGGGGAGGTTTTATTATTTATTTTGAAACAAGCGAATAAATTCGAATAGTGATATTTTAAGATACGAATTATCTGGGTTTCAATACCACATTCTACGAGCGTTTCCCACAACGCTTCATGATTAACATTATCGAATGCTCTACTGAAATCAATAAATGTGTAAAATGACGGAATCTTATATCTATAACACTTTTGCATTATTATCTTCAAAGATAATATGGGTTCTAGTATATTTTTATTTGGCCTGTAAGCACAAATATATTTAGAAAAAAGATTGGGCGTCGAATGAACAATCTTATTCTTTATAAGTACCATAAATATCTTAGCCACACAAGATGTTAAAGCACACGCCCGATAATCAGTGAATTTCAGGGGGTATGCAGTTTTGGGAAAATTGCATATAAGGGACTTGTTCCATTCCGTAGGGGTGCTTCCATTTTCCCATATTTTATTGAATAGGGCTAGTAGAAAAGAAGATGTCGTACTAGGTGCGATCTTTAGATGTTCCGCCGTAATGTTGTCAAGCCCCGGAGCTTTATTGTTTCGTAATTTCTTTATTACATTCATAATTTCCACTACAGTGAAACCAGACTGGGGTGGAGCCATATTTATATTTACATTTGATGCTCTAGTTACTTTACGTCCATCGAACACCGTAATATAGTAGTCGAGCCACAGCGCCATCTGTTCATCTTGATCAATTATTATTTTACCATCATTTAATACTATTGAGGGTACCTTCTGAAAACCGTTAGGTTTACAAAAATATTTTAATTTCTTATATGCATCATGTAGCCTATTTTCTCTTACATCTTTGTCAATATCAAACGCTTTCTTCGCACTATAAACCCGTCTATCTCTCCGCAGTAATCTTTGTATCGTCTTCCAAAGATCCTTATTAGAGCTACACGCAATTCTTAACTGGTTTATTTTCTCCAGGGTATCATTCGCCATCCACTCCTTCCTATGGATAAGATTTACATCTGGCAATACTCTGTATGTATCGACTAGGGCGTCTTTGAAAAGATTCCAACTTTTCTCACCGCTTGCAAGCCTAATAGTGTTCAAGTAGCTGGCTTCTTTCCCGCTTAATATCTCATCAAAATGTCTTTCATCATCTAATGTTCTTATTTTACTCAGTTTGCGAGTTATTTCGTTACACAAGGGAGTAGCGTTAGATCTAGTCGAAAATTGTCTATTTCCGTTATGATACCCCCATAAATTTTTAACTATAATAATTGCTCTAAGCAGTCTATGATCTGACAAATTCATATTAGTTAGGGCTTTAACATCCACGAACCAACGATGAATATTCGAGATGAAGAAGTCAATTTGTGATTGCTGCTGCGCTCTTACAAAGGTATACGTATTCCTATCACTATGACTAAAAAAAGTGTTTTCAATTTTGAGATCTTTATTACAGCAGAAGTCAAGTAATTTTTTACTGTATTCGCTATTACTCTGTACTAAGGTAGCGTGCCCAGTGACATTTCTATTCATATATTCCGCTTCTCTGCCTATATCCATATTTAGATCTCCCAATATTATTATGTTATATCTCTCTGGTAAGGAGTGTATTATGTTAATCATTATATCTACAAAGGCTAATCGCTCGTTCCTTTTATGTGGGACATAGAAATTAACGATTATAGTAGGCTTGAAGTTCGTATGTAGGTATAGGAGCCCGCATCTTTCCGAGATGGGTACAAATTTCATGACGTATTTCTGCATTCTTTTATTAATAAGGAAAGCAATCCCTGACCAGCTGTTGGAGGTAGTACCCGAGCAAAACATCTTATATTCATTGAAATTAGCCATAATATCTCCAGGGTAGTGGGTTTCCTGGATGCCCAAAATGTCAATTTTCTCTGTCGCTAACATCCTTAAAAGAACTGCCAGTTTATTCATCAATCCATTAATGTTAAGAGATGCTATTAGGATCTTGCCTGTCACTTTGTTCTAAACAGAGTATTTACACATAAGATACTAGGTCATTAAGAAGTTAATTATCGTGAAATTTAGGATAGTGATGTTATAATGAAAACCATGGAAATGAAGATACAGCAAAACAGTACAATATACCTAGTACGATACCAGCTTTGGTAAATAAAATTTAACATTAATACACTCTCTATGGTATAGTCTTACCTTATTCTAGGGCGTAAAGATTCTTAAAACTGGAAGAAAAATGAGTCATATCTGATGATATGTATAATGTATTAATAGGTACATATATAAAACAACAGTAACAATGATTATACTAATACGGACATGATAATGTAAGTCATTTATTACCATTAACGGTAATGATACGGATGTATTAATTGTATATTTTTGTTGTTTTAATTTCAAGAAATTTGTAAATATGAAAATAATTATCCTAAATGTTGACAAAATGGCGAGTCCAGCTGATCTACTATTTTAATGAATGAACAAATATATTATGATTGTAACGTTGATGTTTAGTAATCTATCTCTATTATAATAGATCTATTATTATATTATAAATAATTAAAGCAAACTTTATTCACATATAATTCAAAAATGTAGTAGATAACATTCTAAATATTTTTACCCTACCCCCCAACTGATGCCTACCCCCTACCCCCTTTTAGGATATTTGGATGCAAACTATTCCTACCCCCCCCCCCCGCTCATGTAGACGCTGCTCTTGATGATGAAACACTAGTGATTATGCTAGAGAAAAATGGTCCTATTATTCAGATAGTCACAATAGGTATTTTATTTTAACGTTATATAATTTTTTAAGTTAATGCTGATAAAAGATCTGCAGTAAATTTTATTATAATAATTTCTTGATCAATAATACTATCATATAGATAATGCATTTAAAAGTACAAAATTTGCAATTTCGTTAAATTTGCTTATATTTAAAAAAAATGTATATAAATAATTTAGGAACCTTACCATGCTGTTTTACAAATAAGAAAAAATGCTGATTGTGAGTTTAGCAAGATATTTAACATGGTTCAAAAAAGGTGAATTCATATAATATGTTAATAAACATGCCAAGAATTGTATCAAGACAAATACAGAAGAATAATATTTCCAAATAATCAGTTGAGGAGTATTACAGAATTACGATTTTTATATCACTTATGGATACCTTTTTAACTCACATTAGAAAAAGCTTATTGAATCATAAACTGTTGCTCAATAACGTACAAATTTTGTTATCCTCTAATCCATCAGTAAGCATCTGAGATGAAATTAGAAATAAAATTCACTATTGTTTTATTTGCAAGATATGGTAGGAACATAATTAGAAGTAATTTGAATTTAAATATCGGTATGCAAGCTTAAAAAGAATGGACATTAAGCCTGAGAATGCACTAAGTGCACACAATGTTTGTAAACACACATTAATAAACTTTTCAAACATTACAAAATTATTTCAAATTTTAGCATGCCTCCCTATTATGACATGTACTAATGAAAGAACTTTCTCAAATTTATGAGGGCTAAAAACATATTTGCGAAATAGTACCTCCTTTTATAGATTAAATGGTTTAGCGCTCTTATGTATTATCAGGAATTGACACTAGTTAATTCTAAAATAATTAATTAATTATCAAATTCTAAAAGAAAATTAGACCTAACATCATAAATTACACTCTTTTGTATTAATATATATATATATATGCATTGAACGAACATAAGTATCAATTCAATTTTATTAAGAATCCCATTGAAAGAATATTAACATGGGAATAAATTCTTATATTAAATAACATATTTGTAAAGTAAAGTATTACTGATCTCAAATTATAATCTCAGGTGGTTTTTATGTATCGTAAATCAATTGTATCCAATCACGTTATACAATTAACAATATGTAATTTTTTATATTTTATATAAACTTATAAAACTATATTTCCTACTGACTTGTTTTTTGAAATAATCTCTTAACCAATATATTTTAAATAAAGAGATTATATTTTTTTATTAAAATTAACCTCCTATCTTGTAAAAATATTTTTAACTATAGCGGGCGATGGCCCGCCGAAAATGGGGTCTGCACCCCAAATTTATTAATCCCCCCCCTAGGAAAATTCTGGTACGCTTATGGCTAACCGTTGTACAAGTTGTTGAGAAAAAGTACATTATTTTAGTGGGTAAAAGAACAAAATGCTAGTTTTGAGATCCATAAGATAAAGATGGTAGATAAACCTATTCTGAATTGTTTTAACGAGATGAGATATTATATTTGCAGTGGATGCATTTAATGAAGATGGAGCTTTGTTGCAAACGATTGATAATGTTGAGAAACCGATCTTGTTTGTAATCAGACAGTTTAAAAACGCTGAAGGAAATTGCCCTGCTATTGAAAAGGAAGATTTAGTAAAGTTTGGATTAACAAAGTGCAAAGAATATCTGATTGGAAGAAGCTTTTTATTATATACGGATCACAAGGCGTTAGTTTATTTGTTTAAAAAGGACAACAAAGAATTAATGATTTCATAAATACTACAAAAATGGTTGTGGTAGGTAGCTTCGATTTTGAAATAAGGTTCAGAGCGAGTAAACAAAATCTTTTACCAATATATTATCAAGACTATTTGTTAAGAAAATAGAAGATTATCTAAGCAAGACGAAGAATTGATAAAAATTAGAGCATGTTTGAAAGGAGATATAGAATGGAAAAGCGAAGACAAATCGTTCAAAAATATTAAGAATGAATTAAACATAGAAGACAATTGTGTAATGAGTGGATATCTTTTAGTAATTCCGAATTTATTAATAAAGGATATATTAACAGCTGTTCATGTCAGACATCAAGGCGTAGAGAGAATGAATAATAAGGCACGAGAGTATATTTGGTGGCCCAAAATGAATAGCGAGATAAAAGAAATAGCTAAGAGTTGTAATACATGTAGCATATGGACTAATGTGTCAACAAGAAACTAGGATGATAAATAGCCTGAGACGAGCATTCCATGCGAAAGAATACATGTAGATTTTTTAGAATATGAGAAGAAAAGATATTTTACCATGGTAAATGCAGGTTCAAAATGGATAGATTGTCAACATGTTTCAGGTTTATCAACAAAAGTAGTTTGAATATGATAAAAGATTTTGTAGGTAAATATGGATTAATGAAAACGTTAGTATCAGATAAAGGTCCAGCTTTTAAAGATAATGCATTTGATAAATTTTGCGTTAGAAGGAAGATTCAGCATTTAGTTTCGCACCACATTATCCAAGAAGCATTGAGCAGACTGAGAGCATGATAGCTATAGTTAAGAGTTGGTTAAAACAAAGAAAAATACGGAGAAGGACAATGGTGGTTATTCATGTTAGCATACAACAACACTAAGACGTCAAAGGAAGTTCCCAATCAAAGATATTTTTAAGAAGACAAGAACTGAGTTGAATTTATTAAAAGAAAGAGTAAAACAAAGAGAGATTTTCTGTTGTGAAAAATTTTAAATTCGAAGTCTAGTTTGGATACTGCTGTTTGATGGCCCTATTAAATGGGGGAAGGGTGTAGCAAAGAAAAACATAGGAAGAAATAAAGTTGAGGTAGAAATTGAAGGACAGTCAGGAACCTGGTCAAGACATATTATATAGTTAAGACCAAGATTGGTAGAGCAAGATTGAAGATGTTTATGAAATTGAATTTAAACATAATTGAGTGGTTTTTCAACAACTTGTTCGAGAATTATGAGAATCATAATTTAGTTGCATTTCAACAACGTTTGTGAAATTGATGATAAACATAATTGAGTTGTTAACAACTTGTGTGAGAAATATGAGAATCATAAGTTAGTTGTTTTTAAACAACGTGTTTGAAATTATAATGAAATTGAAAAATTTCATTTAACAACGAAGGATCGCTTAGCAAATGACTAAGAGTAAGTGAATTTCATAGAGATAGAAAATTGAAATAAAGATAAGGGAGGGAATATATATATGCATGTTAATTTTATTTTTAGATGGCGTCCTACTTTAGATGGGGTAATATGATTATCAAGATAGAAATCAGAGAGATAGATGGCTCTTTAGAATCAATAAAGTGGGTGGATGCCGCTAGGGAAGAAGCTCATCAAAGATATGGAGAGATGATGGAAGCTATTCCGAAGAAGTGACATAGATGAACTGCTGGATGTGGGAGGGGGAATCCTTTTATGAGATATTGCCCAGTGTCATTGGGTGCATTGAATAATAATCCAGTATTGGCAGTGCAAGATGAAGAAGAGCGGTTAGGGGAAAATCCTACCAAGAGGTCTGGCGGTATAAACCAATCTAAGAAAAGGGGTGTTGAGAGTTCTTTGGCTATAGTCTTGTTTTATAAATAATTTTAAAATAAAGTTTATAATTTAAATTTGAATAGTTTATAATTTATTTTGTATAAAAATCAGACGATATTAGTGAATAGTTATGTTTAATTATATATGATGAGATGAGAAAATTATAATTTTTATAGAAAAATCAGACGATATAAATTAATGATTATGTTTAATTATGATGACGTAAGGAGAAAATTGTATTTTTGTTAAAAGCCAGACATGTAAATTAATTGTTATTTATGATCATTATGTTAGAATTATTATATGATGCAGTAAGAAATTATATATATACACATTTTATTTTGATAAACATCATTTTTTAAAACATTTAATAAAGTCAGTGGCGTAGCTACGGGGGGGGGTTTCGGGTTTAGACCCCCCCCCCCCCCACAGAGCAAAATTTTTTTAAAAAAGTCTCAAAAGTGACTTTATAACAAATAAATACCATTAATATTTATATCTGGTTATGATGTTTGTGGAAGGATATTTTATTACTATTGAAATTATTCTGGAAAGTATTATTATTAAAGGTTCTCCCAGAGCAAAAAAAAAATTGGATCATACGTTCAAAAAATACTTTAATTCAAATAAATACCATACAAGATTATATTTTAAATAAAAAGTTTGTTGAATATGATTATGAACTTTAATATTTTTCTGGTTCTGATATTTGTGGAAGAATTATATTACTTTTAAATATATATGAATTATTCGGTATATTATTATATTAAAGTCATTGATAATAATCTACTAAATTACTAAATTATAATAATATATTATTTATGCATTTAAAAAATATATTTATTATATATTATCGAAGATATGGTTCGAAAATATTATATTTCTAATAAAATATATTTGTTTTATATTTTGTTGCATTTTTATAAATGAAATTATTAAAGAGTTTAAATTTTATGACTGACTGAACTTTCAAAACTCTACTCAAATTGATGGATATAAGGAAATATCTAAGTAACAAAAAAATATACTAATAGATACTTATATTTAATTTTAGCGAAAAACAATGAAATAAATTTTCCAACTAATGTCTCATGCAATATATACCCTGTTGAAGATGATAATCATGATCTAAATACACGAGGTAATAATATTTAATCTAGTGTAATAATTAATATCTTATGCATTATAGGGTCTATTGAAAATGATGAGGGTGATGTAAATACACCAGGTCAAAATAACATTTAATATAAAAGATATTATTTAAAATCAATAGCTAACTATTCTTATTTTAGAATTTAAAATTAAACACCTAACCATAGTTTTGACTAAATTAAAATTGCCTGTACAAACCACTTTGGGTAATATATTATTTTAAATAATTTTGGCTAACCAAAAAATATTTTCACATTTTTAAGTTATCCCCAAACGTAGGAAGGAAGAAAATGATTTTATTGATCACTTCAAATTTCTACCTAGTACAAGTAATATTATCTATTACCTTCAAATATTTATAACATAATTTTAGGTATATCAAGTATTACATTAAATAAAAATGATGATAGTCAACAAAATGAACACACCAAATCACTTAATATAGAAAATCAGAGTTTTAATGATGAAATTGATACCATAGGCAACAATTTACCACCCATATCAAATATTTTATGACCTTATTTAAATGTATTCATTTAAATTTTAGAGATACCTAGATACTCTATTAAAAAATATGATAAAATCAGCTAAATACAGTTGATCTATCTACCTATTACAAGTAATAATATCTATTACCTTCAAATATTTATATCATAATTTTAGGTATATCAAGTATTACATTTAATAAAAATGATGATAGTCAACAAAATGAACACACCAAATCACTTAATATAGAAAATCAGAGTTTTAATGATGAACTTGATACCATAGGCAACAATTTACCACCCATATCAAGTATTTTATGACCTTATTTAAATGTATTCATTTAAATTTTAGAGATACCTAGATACTTTATTAAAAAATATGATAAAAATCAGCTAAATACAGTTGATCACTTCAAATCTCTACTTATTACAAGTAATATTATCTATTACCTTCAAATATTTATATCATAATTTTAGGTATATCAAGTATCACATTGAAGAAGAATGATAATAGTCAAAAAAATATTATAGGCTGTATCAATTTAGAATTTAAAGGTTATCTAATGCTTTATTTTAATATTTATTGTGTTATTTTTATAGGAATATATTAATTAATATTTACACCAAGGGCTAAAAAAATGGTGATTACAAACAAAGAAATACATTAAGTCACAACAAATTACTATCTAATAAATGTAATCAATTATTTTATAAATATTTATATTAAAATTTTAGATATATCTAAAAAATCTACAGAGAATTTAAATGGAAATGTTAATACCCTAGACTACAATTTACCACTCGTGTCAGGTATTAGTCTTATTTAAAATATATATTTAAAATCTTAGCTATACCCACATACTCCAGAAAAGTAAAGAATAATAGACAACCAACTATACTAGATCATCTAGAATTATCACCTACTACAAGTGATATAGTTTATTACTTTATAATTACATTATAATTCTAGATATATCTGGATTACTTGGAGAGGACATTTATATAAATGAACTTGATACTTTAGGTTCTAATATTAGTCTTATTTAAATTATATTTATTTAAAATCTTAGCAATACCCTCATATTCCAGAAAAGTAAAGGATAATAGACAACCAACAATACTAGATCATCTAGAATCATCACCTACTACAAGTGATATAGTTTATTACTTTATAAGTTACATTATAATTCTAGATATATCTGAATTACTTGGAGAGGACATTAATATAAATGAATGATACTTTAGGTTCTAATATTAGTCTTATTTAAATTATATTTATTTAAAATCTTAGCAATACCCACATATTCCAGAAAAGTAAAGGATAATAGACAACCAACTATACTAGATCATCTAGAATCATCACCTACTAAAAGTGATATAGTTTATTACTTTATAAGTTACATTATAAGTTTAGATATATCTGAATTACTTGGAGAGGACATTAATATAAATGAACTTGATACTTTAGGTTTCAATTTACCTTACACATCAGGTATATATAATTTTGTTTTAATATTTAGTCTTATAATTATAGAGATATGCTATGCCAATTCAGATTTCCCTTATGATATATTAAATTTTGTTACCCAACATATTAAAGAGAAATTATACACATATTCTAAAATATGGAATCCTCCTTCATCATATATTTTCCCTCAAATAAATTCTAAAATGAAGAGGTTGTCATTCCAACATAAATGGCTAAATCAGTATACATGGCTTAGTTACTCTCAACTTACACATTCAGCATATTGTAAAGTATGTGTAATCTTTGGTCCTAGATATGGTGGGATCAATTGTCAAAAGTTGGGAGAGTTGGTTTTGCATGGATTTGTCAAATATAAACATGCAAAAGAGAAATTTTCATCTCATGAAAAATGCAATTGTCATCAGAACTCAATAAAAATGTTAACCAATTTAATGCAAATTGCTAAAGGTATGATTCCAGCTATTGACACACAACTCTCAAATTTGAAAGCAAAAGGGGCCAAAAATAATTGTAAGTATTTGCAAATTATTATTCAAGCTATCATTTACCTGGGAAGACAGGGAATGCCACTAAGAGGCCACCGAGAAAAGAGTGGTAAATTGGATTATAATGATACATCAGTTAATGAGGATAACTTCAAAGAGTTGCTCAAATCATATTGTCATCTAGGTGGTGATGAAACCAAGTTGATATTTGATAATGTGGCTAATAATGCCATATATATATCTCCCGATATACAAAATGAAATTATAAACATATGTAATAATCTTATTGTTGAAAAATTGATTAAAATTGTTAATAAATCTACCTTTTTCTCTGTACTTGCAGATGAAACAACTGATATCTCAAATCAGCAACAAATGTCATTGGTTATCAGAATATTAAACTTGGACACCATAAAAATTAGTGAATTTTTTTTGCAATTTATTCCACTTAATAATGGTACAGGAGAAAATATAGCCAAACAAATAATATCTTTTTTAAAAAACAATGATATTGATATAACTAAAATTCGAGGCCAAGGATATGATGGTGCTCCAGCAATGTCTGGAAAAATTAATGGGGTTCAGGCCTATATAAAAAAGAAGTGCCCAAAAGCTCTTTATGTACATTGTGGAGAATATTCTCAAAATTTAGTTATCTCCAAAGCTTGTGGAATTTGTGAGATTGATAGTTTAAGTAAATAATTATTCACATAATCTATATAATCTTTATTTCATAGAAATCGTATCCAAAATAATTGAATTTTTAAGTTGTGGGAAGCGATCAAAGGTGTTGTATCACGTTTTAAAAGATATACAAAGATCCAAAGTTCGAAAATTAAAAAAATATTCGCCAACAAGATTTCTTCAGAGACAAGATTCAATTACTGGATTCCTTCAAGCATTAGAAGGCATAGTTGAAACTTTAAAAATAATAAGTAGATGGAATGATAATGATACATCTAATATTGCCCAAGAATTGTGTTCATCAATTTATGAAACCCGTTTTATTATATCAATTTTTTGTATGAATTATATTTTTTTAAAAACTGTAAATTTAAGTCGATATCTTCAAAGGGAAAATATCAACATTGTGTCAGCAATGAATGAAGCCAAGAGGCTTCTTAAAATATTTGAAGATGCTGAGGTAAATGCCAACAATATTTTTTTACCAATATATGAAAGATGTTTAAGTTTGGGTGAGAAACTTAAAATTAATATTGAGAAACCTAGGCTAATCATAGATGACATGTTAGCTTTGGAATCAACTTTTGATTATTATAAAAAAGTTATTTTTTTACCATTATTAAAAACAATTATTACTCACTTTAAATTAAAATTTGCTGGGCATAACAAAATATTTTAATTTTCTTTTGCCATCATCCTCAGAACAATTAATTATTAACAATAATATAATGCTTAGCATTAAAAAAATTAGTATTTTTTATGAATCCGACATTATCGGTGGATACGAACAGCTAAAATCAGATACTGAAGCTTGGTGGACTAGGATTAAGATTTCTATATATATTTAGAAGAGCCAATCCATTGGTCCTCGCCTGGCCAGAGGTTGCCCTTAAATAACTTTTAAGTCAAGCCAGTGTCGAAAATGACCGCTCATTGGTGCAAGTAGTTATAGGAAGTGTTGCTAATATGATTAAAAGTGTTTTGATATTTGTTCTTAAGTTTAAAGTTTCCTTAAATAATTAATTGTAATGTCTCAACAGGGTTGCTGGGACGATCTGTAGGGATGATGGTGCTTAGATCAGAATGCCAAGCTTCAGTATCTGATTTTAGCATGTCTAATTCATAAAAAATACTAATTTTTAAATTCTAAACATATTATTGTTAATAATTAATTATTCTGAGAATGATGGCATAAAATATTTTGCTATGCCCAGCAAATTTTAATATAAAGTGAGTAATAATCGTAAAAAAATAACTTATAATAATCAAAAGTTGGCTCCAAAGCTAACATGTCATTTATGATTATTAGCCTAGGTTTCTCAATATTAATTTTAAATATCTATCATATATTGGTAAAAAAATATTACCAACACAATTTACGTGATACGTGATATATAGCGCATCGCCCTCTAACGTTGAATACACAACAGAGCTACGCTAGGTTTTCCTCATTTCCATCTAATTGGAACAATTTAATTTGGGTATAAAAGGAAAAATATGAGGAGCCCTCCACCCGTTTGTGGGCAAGCCGCACGTACTTTTAGGCACAACATTTCGAAAAATGTTGCTTAAACCTCTATAGGCTATAATTTAAAAGGAGTGGGACAAAGAAAAAGCCTATACCCAAGAACTACAGTATAATTTAATTACTTTATAGGTGGGTGATGGCTGATTTTAAGCTTAATTTCTTTAGTGTAAGTTATAATTACTATCAATATTGAGATATAATGTTCATAGAATCTGTAAATAAATATGATTAAAATAAAATAATATTTACCGTTCTATCACTTCAAATTTTCCACCGGAAATTGCATTACCATTTTTTTTATATTAACGAGACGAGAAGCGTGATTTTTCTTAAAAAAGATTTTTTCACTTTGAAGGATATCGACTTAAATTTACAGTTAAAAAAAACATTTATATTTTAATCTATAATTTTAATGTGTTTACTAATAATAAAATATATTATTTATAATTAAGGCAATATAATATTTATAATTAAGGCAGTATAATATTTATAATTAAGGCAGTATAATATTTATAATTAAAGCAATATAATATTTATAATTAAATCAATATAATATTTATATTTTAAATATTCGCTTTTTATTTGTAAATAACTTCTAAAAGTATAATAAATTGAAACGTATATCAATAAAATTATGTCAATGTGTTATTTTAATTAAAATTATGTCAATGTGTTATTTTAATTAAAATTAGTGGTTAATGGCTCAATTTTAGCCGATATGGCTAACTCAATATATTAGCCAGAAAATTATGTAAGCCCGAAAATTTTGCTCATGGAGATACAAGTTTTATATTATTCGTGAAATCTCTAGGTTTGAACAATATTTTTTGGCTAAAATATTGACTTGAGCTGTTTATAAAAATCAGCTCAAGTCGAGCCGTTTAACAACACTAATTAAAATAATTAATAATTTTAGGACTTTTATATTATAAGAAAAACCAATATGATTTTTAAGATAAACCCGGCCGAAGGCCGAGCAAAAGGGCCGAAGGCCCGTTAAAAGGGTGTCTGGGGGGCGAAGCCCCCCAGGCTTTTATAAGTGGACCCCTTCTAAGGAAAATTCCTAGCTACGCCACTGAATAAAGTAATTAATTCGATATAGTTACTTTTCAAAGTCGTGTACTGAACTGAATGAATTTAAATACAAAATAATTAAATCAATTTCAACTATATTTTAAGAAAAAACAGAAATAATAATTTTTTATATAAAAAGTAATATAACATATTATAAACCTTTATCATTTACATAGTCCTCCAAATTGTACCAGAGATAAAACTTAATAATATACGCTAAAAATTATGAATAAAACAAAAATATAAAAATTTGGATAAAAGTAAAACATAAAATTTTTATTAAAAAATTTATCATAACCCCCTTTTGCTTGAGTTGATTTTTACTCCTATCGGGCCATTTAAAGGGATTCACCTTACCTTGAACTTCTTGAACCGCTAATAATACATTATTGTTATTCGTCAATATTGCTGTCGGACAAAACCTCATTACATGATTGCCTCCACAAGATCAGCAAGATAACTTACTTCTATCCCAATCCTGTTCCCTTCTTCTGTCTGAGTAAGAACGTCTTGGAGTATCTTGAGTAGTTTCTCCATATCTCTGTTGAGGCCTCCTTCCTTGCGGCATTCATCCATCTTCTAGATTCAGCTGATCCATTTACTTCTCTGATTTCTATCTTTATTATTTTGTTACCTATTCTAAATAGGACGCCATCTATATATTCTTTCTCCTTATTTCTCTCTTATCTCTTTGAAATTCACCACTTCCCAAATTTTTTTATAATTTTACCCATCATACATTGATAAAAAACAACAAAATTATGATTCTCATAATTCTAGCACAACTTGTTCAAAAACAAATCAATTATGTCTATCAACAATAAAACTCACAAAATTATAATTCTCATAATTCTAGCACAACTTATTAAAAAACATAAAATATGATTCTCATAATTCTAGCACAACTTGCTAAAAAACAAATCAATTATGTCTATCATCAAAACACGTTGTTATTATTGCCCTACCAATCTAGGTCTTAACTGTATGATATGTATTGACCAGGTTCCTGACTGCCCTTCAATTTCTACCTCAATTTTTTTTATTCCTATATTTTTCCTTACTACACCCTTCCCCCATTTAATTGGACCATCAAACAGCAGTATCCAAACTAAACTTCCAATTTAAAATTTTACAGCATATAATCTCTTTTTGCTTTATTCTTTCTTTCAGGAAATCCAATTCAGTTCTTGTTTTCCTACCTAAAAACATTTTCCTACTTAAAAACATCTCTGCTGGAGAATTTCCGTTGGTCGTCATAGTGTTGTTGTATGATCAGCATTTTCCTTCTTCATATTTTCTTTTTTTTAGCCAACTTTTAACTATAGCTACCATTCGTTTAGCTTGCCCATTAATTCTTGGGTAATGTGGAAGCAAAAATAGATGCTCAATCTTCCATTTATCGCAAAATTTGTGTTTGAAAGCTGGACATACATCTGATACTAACGTCTTCATTAATCCATATTTACCTACAAAATCTTTTACCTTATCCAAAGCTATTCTTATTGACAAACCCGAAACATGTTGACAATCTATCCATTTTAAATCAGTATCTACCATCAGCGTCTACATGGCAGAAAATTTGATGGAGGCAACCCCCATCCCAAATCTACCCCTACCCCCCTAAAAAAATTTCGCGGCCTTCGGCCGCGATATTTGCCTTAATCAAGAAAATCTTATATTAAGTCACTATTTATACCCTTACAAACATTCAGACCTGCTTTGGAAAAAAAAATTTACAAACTGATAACTATTGTTACTATCCGTTTTCAATTAACTTATATTTAAGTAGGTAGTGCAATCTTTTCATAATTTGATTGATAATCAATTTATTTTCATAAAAATTAATATAATAGTATTAAATGAGATAACATATTTACATTACTATAAAAAAATATCAAAAATTTAGTAAAAAAATATAAGATGAGTAATTTTAAAGAGGTATAGCTTGATTCTATAATTACTAATACCTTTATATTAAGTAAAAAAAACAAAATGAGTAATTTTAAAGAGGTATAGCTTGATTCTATAAATACTAATGCCTTTATATTAATTAAAAACATTCATATAGATATAACTATTATATAAAAAAAATTTTTATGTAAATATAACTTTTATATAAAATATTAGAATAAAGAATATAGTATATTTTGCACAAGAATTATAAAAACATTTATGTAAATATAACTATTATATAAAATATAAAATGAATAGAGTATATTTTGCACTGGAAATATAAATTTTTTTATGTAAATATAACTTTTATATAAAATATGAGAAAAAAATGAATATAGTTGCACTGGAATTATAAAAACATCTATGTAAATATAAGTTTTATATAAAATATTAAAATAAAATGAATATAATATATTTTGCACTGGAATTATAAAAACATTTATGTAAATATAACTATTATAAAATATTTAAATAAAATGAATATAGTATTATATTATGCACCGGACTAGAATGATATAAAAAACTATTAAATTAAATTTACATTATTAAAAAGGCGTATATAATTAGCTGTGAAAAAGATATAACTTATTTTATTAATAATTTAGTTAATCTTTTAGACGTAGATGCAAATCGCGTTATAATGTCGTCTATTTTAAATCTTTCAAAAACATCAATTTCGCTGGATATTAGAAGTAAATTTTCTAAAAAGGGGTCAGAAATTTTATTCCGCATTCTAGTTTTATTTATTTTGACTTTGCTCATCACTCTTTCGGCAGAACAAGAAGTAGTTGGTAGAGTCAATAAATATTTATATAATAAATATAAATTAGAATAAGAATTTAATTTATTTAAAAGACGATATGGTAGTATAAATGAATATTTTATCCATTTTTTTGTATTAATTATGTTATCGTTATTGATATCTTCCTCGGTTTCATCGTTTACAATACCTTTAATTATATATAATTTTAAATAAAATATCAATAAATTACTTTCATCAATATATAACCCATCATTCTTTTTTATTTTCAAAAGATCCTTGCAATAAATGATTGCTTGTGAATCCAAATATAAAGATCGAAAATCATTATATTCACGAGCAATATCTTGAGCATTTAATTGGTAAGTATGACAAATTTGAGATATTTGCCACCCTTCTATTCTATCATTGGCTATAATTCCAGCTGGTGTAAAAAGAGATATTTGAGATAAAAAATTTAAACAATCATAATTAAATCTTTCATTTAAATCATTAATGATTGTATCAAGCACAGGGAAAAATATTTCCCTTTTATATCTATAATGCTAAATAATAATTTTAAATCTTTTTTTATTCAACTTGTTTTTTTTTTGTTTAACATAATTATTGAATGCTGTTTGATCAAATTTGAATATTGATTTTATATTATGCAATTCCGTTGTAACATTATTCTTTTTCAAATAACTGTTAGATAAGGAATGCAATTTTAAAAAAATATTATCCCCATTAGCTACATTTTAAAATTATTTATAGAAATCGTAACTAATTTTAACCTCTTAGTCTTTGTAATTTATTTTTTGTGTGTTGTATTAATTTAGTTACCATAGCCAAATCATTACCAACTGCCTGCATTTCAATACAAGCCTCATGTGTGCATTTCAATATTTCTTTCAAAATAAATAGACTTAATATGAAATCTTCATCCTTAATTCTTGTTAATAATCCATCGGCAATAGAAGAGGTGCTTGGGTCATTAGAATCTTTTAATTCATTTAATGATGCTATAATATGTTCATAAACATCTAAAAAAATTTCTACAGCTTTATAAGATGATGACCAATTTCTAAAAAAAGATAAGTTACATTAAAAATATTATATTTACCTTGTTGTATTTTTTATTCTTTTAAGAGATTTTTTAGACTTTGTCATTTGATATTTAACAAACACTCCTTGACGTCTTACCCCATTCATGAAATTATATAACTCATCCAATATTCCCATTACCTTTTTCATTTCTATTTTGCATCCACAAACATGAGCAACTACTAAATTGAGCCTATGTGCATGGCACCAAATATATATGGCTTTTGGAGCCTCTTTCAATATTAAAGCCTGCATTCCTTTGTATACTCCTCTCATATTCCCTGCACCATCCATACTTTGCCCAACCATATAATCAAGAGGAAGACCAAGATCTTTGAACTTAGAAAAAACATGTTTCTTTATATTTTCCCCGGTGGTTTCTGATGTTGTAAAAACATGGATGATCCTTTCTACAGGATGTGGATGCGGATCATCTTCTATATATCTTACAAGTAAAGCAATGCATTCTTTTTTAGACACATCATATGTTCCATCTAATATGATGCTATAGGCACAATTCTCTTTAATTTTTTGAATAATACATTTTATTATTTTTATCTTAATGACTTCAATAATTTTTTTCACATGGCCATATGACAATAAATTTATATAAGGTCTTGAAATTTTATCTGATTTTTTTCTCCTCAATTTTTCGTTGTTATCAATGTATGCCCGTAAAGTTGGAACCGTTTTTGCCATTAATTTTATGAGGCACATAAAATTACCTTCATTCGAATTAGTGCCCCAAAAGGCTATGTTACATTTTATAAGGTATATAATGGCATCAATAATATTATGAACTATATTACGATTTTCCATTATTATATCAAGCCTATTTGATAGAAAATGATCTTGAATACGCTTATTTGCAAGCCAAGTCATGTTGGTGTATTCACAATCCTTATGAATAGAAGATGACTCATGTCTCTCTAAGTCACGCTTAAAATTTTTCCAATTATTTACTCCAAGTTGAGTCCAAAAAGTATTGGATTTAGGGCCACCAAACATAAGACAATAAAGACAAAAGACTTTGTCTAAAGTGGTGCTATAGGATAACCAATTTCTTGGTTTGAGGGAACCATCAATATTAACCTTTTTATAATAGGATATATTCATGCTCCTATTTAAAAGTAGAAATAATGGATGCGTAAAAATTAATAAAAATTAAATTTTTTAAAAACCTTTTGTGAGTAACAGGATATTGAAATATATTTGAACATGGCTGACATGGGCCTATGGAAATTATGAAATTAATCAAGATATTTGTCATTCTAAAGAATATGAAATGAAAAGGGTCATTAGGCTCCTTTTTTTTATATAATTGAATAATATTTGGGCCTTTAATGTTTGAAATATTTTGGCTTGCATTGGGATTGATAATTGGATGAAAAAAAGATATAATTGGGGAATTTTCAATAACTTTGTGTGTTTGCTAATTATTATTAAAGAGTGTATAGTTTTATTTAAATTAAATACCTCATCATTCAAAATCAGCAGATCACTGGAACTGGGCATTGTATGAGAAGATAATATAATTTGGGAATCTTCAGTAAAAGATTTGTGCTAATTATTAAATAAAGAATAATTAAAATTTGTTTATTCATGAAAATATCTGAATATCCTCATTTATTCCCTTCAAAATTATAAAAGAAATCTTATTTAAATTAAGTACCTCATTATTCAAAATCAGCAGATCACTGGAACTGGGCATTGTATGAGAAGATAATATAATTTGGGAATCTTCAATAAAAGATTCATGCTAATTATTAAATAAAGAGTGGTTAAAATTTGTTTACTTATGAAAATCTTAATTTTAATAAAAATTTTATTCTTAATTAAGATATAGAAAAGTGGAAAATATTTCATAATTTATTCACTTCAGAATTATCAAACAAATCTTATTTAAATTAAGTACCTCATCATTCAAAATCACCAGATCACTGGAACTGGGCATTGTATGAGATAATATAATTTGGGAATCTTCAGTAAAAGATTTGTGCTACTTATTAAATAAAGAATAATTAAAATTTGTTTATTCATGAAAATATCTGAATATCCTCATTTATTCCCTTCAAAATTATAAAAGAAATCTTATTTAAATTAAGTACCTCATTATTCAAAATCAGCAGATCACTGGAACTGGGCATTGTATGAGAAGATAATATAATTTGGGAATCTTCAATAAAAGATTCATGCTAATTATTAAATAAAGAGTGGTTAAAATTTGTTTACTTATGAAAATCTTAATTTTAATAAAAATTTTATTCTTAATTAAGATATAGAAAAGTGGAAAATATTTCATAATTTATTCACTTCAGAATTATCAAACAAATCTTATTTAAATTAAGTACCTCATCATTCAAAATCACCAGATCACTGGAACTGGGCATTGTATGAGATAATATAATTTGGGAATCTTCAGTAAAAGATTTGAGCTAATTATTAAATAAAGATTAATTAAAATTTGTTCATGAAAATATCTGAATATCCTCATTTATTCCCTTCAAAATTATAAAACAAATCTTATTTAAATTAAGTACCTCATTATTCAAAATCAGCAGATCACTGGAACTGGGCATTGTATGAGATAATATAATTTGGGAATCTTCAATAAAAGATTTGTGCTAATTATTAAATAAAGAGTAGTGAAAATTTTAGGCAAATGACTTATTTTATTCTTAATTATAATATATAAATTTTTTTTTAACAAAAGTTGAAATATTTAAATATTCTTATAATTTATTTCCTTCAAAATTGATAAAGGGCATAATAAAAATGTACCTATATATTAAAAATCTTATCTTTAATAAAAATTAAAAGTATTATGCTCAAATTATAGATGAAGAATTGGTTTCTACTAATTCACAAAATTTAAGGTTATTTTTACTTATATTTATTGTCATGAATTAAAATAATATATATAAAAAATTACTTTTTGGAAGTAAGATGTTATTGATTTTTTTTGTAACTTGGTTTCAACCCCATTTGTGATATTGAATGGAATATCTTTATTTAAGGATACCCAATTATTATCCTTTTTGATAGCTATCTTTGTAAATTTGATATCAGATAACTTGACATGAGGATGTTTATGTTTATAATGGTTATTTATTTTGTCACTTCTTATTTTAGAAGTTTTACAATTAATATAGTCACATTTGACTTTATATATTGTTTTGTTACTTGGCATCTAGAATAAAAATGAAATAAATATTTAGATAATATTTTTTTACTCACTGATGGCCATCAAGAATGATGGAGAATCATAATTTTATCCTTTATTTGACGGTGGATGGCTGAATCTTAAAATTCTCCTATCTTATGAGGTGTGATTCAGAAATTAAATTTATATTTGTTTAAATGAGGGTGTAATTTTAAAATTTTCCAGTGGTTTTACAAAATATATTAAAGAAATATATATTTAGATATTTTAATATATGTGCACAATAAATTTTTATTCATTTGTATTATATTTTTAATCTAAAAAATATATTAAAATCTTTTAAAATAAATTCTTATTCATTTGTATTTGTAATTTATAATCAAAAAAATATATTCTAGACCCTTATTGTTTTTAAATTAAAATTCATAAATATACACTCTATTAACATATTTTATAAAAATAATGAAAAATTTACTGATTCAATCATCATCATATAAAGGAAATTTATTATGCACCCATCATTGAATAAAGAAGAAAATTCTGATTACCAGTCATTCATAATGGACTATCAGCTATTAACTTATATTTTTGATAATGTTTTCTTAAAAGATTCCTATTATATTATATGTAAGCTTAATGCATGGTCACAAAAAATATAATATTTTTTGTTATTTATGCCAAAACAATCATGGATCAATATTTCCTCCATTATACACTTCACAATTGATTTCTTTATTTCTTAGTGTCCAACAATTTTTAGAAATGTATGATGCTTTGAAATCATAGTTTCTTTAAATTAACAATCCTAATAAATTTTGCAAATAATTGAAAACAGGCATATTTGTGATTTGCCCATTCATTTATCTTCAAATAAAGTCTGAGAAATGATATATTTTAATCATTGAAATTAGAGACCTTCACTGGCATTGATTTCTTCATCCAGCCTAGGTCATAAGTAAAAATAATTTTCAGGCCCAGTTCATGTTTAATGGAAATCCAAACCCAAACCACATCATAGGTTTCAAAGATTATTCCCAAGCCATATCCAAAAATTTAATTTATTGTTAACAAAAATAAACAATATTTCAGTATATGGAATCACTTTGTCAATTCATTTAATTGAAATCTTTTCTTAAATCAATAATCAAATGAGAGGAATAGATTATCTGTTCATTCTCCCAAGATTTCTATAAATATTTAGAAAAAAGGCCAAATATATTATGGAAAATTTGATGTTATATAAAATTTATCTAATAATGAAATAAAAAATTTATCAATTCTTTTAACAAATTTTTTATCACACAATGGTTTTCACCTCTCACTTATAATTTTGTATATAATTTACACTTACCTCAAAGAATCATTTATCATAAATAGAAATCAATTATGGGTCCAACCTGATTGCCTCACAAAAATGTGGTAATATTTACCCCATTGAAAATGATTATTTAAAAAATTATTAGCAAAAATAATTGCCATGGTTCAAAACCCAGATAACTTATTAAGTATACATATTAAGATTAAATAAAAATAGCTTCATTCTTTATTATATTTATTTATCTATCATCAAATTAAGGAAAATGCAATTATATGCTTAAAAAATTACCTTTTTAAAATCCAAAAATGTTTCTTTATATTGTTAATTGAGTAGGATTATCTTATCATAAAAGGGATTCTTTATTCAAAAGGTCCTTATTATAAAAAAATATATATTGATAATTTAAAATTGATACTGTGAAAATCTAAATCCCATTATGTAAATGAATTTTCTAAAAATTTAAAAAAATAAATATAGTGTATAATATTTATAAATTGACAGATATCTTTTCTTTAATTGACATTTTTCAGAAAATCAACGATAATCATATCGATTATTGGATTTAAAAATATCATAATACAAGTCAAAAATTACCCTCCAAAAATCAATACCTACCCCCCAAAAACAAATGCCTACCCCCCAAAAATCAATATCTACCCCCCAAAATTAATACCTACCCCCCAAAATGCCAATATTTTTTGGAGGCATTTGTCTCCTACCCCCCCCCGGCCATGTAGACACTGTCTACCATGATAAAATATTTTTTCTTTCCATAACGTGTATTCTCTTACATGGAATGTTCATCTCAGGCTATTTATCATCCTTGTTTCCTGCTGGTACATTAATCCACATGTTACATGTATTACAACTCTTAGCTACTTCTTCTATATCGCTCTTTTTTTTGGGCCACCAAATATACTATCGTGCTTTATTCTTCATTCTCTCTATGCCTTGATACCTGACATGTGCCGCTGCTAAAATAACCTTTCTTAATATATGTGGTATCACTAAGAGATATCCTCTCATTAAACAATTGTCTTCTATATTTAATTTTATGTTTTTAAACTCTTTATCTTCACTTTTCTATTCTATATCTCCTTTCAAACAAGCTCTAATTCTCATTAATTCTTCATCTTGCTTGGATATCTTATCGACTAGCTTAAAAGTTATACCTTTTCTCTTGTATCTACACCTTCAAAGATCTTAAAATATTAATATAATTTATCTTTCGTTAATATACTCTAAACTATTAATTATGGGCTATATATTTTTGTTTTCAATTTCTTTAGCTAAACAGTCTCGATACCCTCTCTGAATCTTATTTCAAGATCGAAATTACCAACCGATATCAACCATTTTTGCAACATAGGTAAAATCATCAATTCTTTATTTTTTTTTTTGAACAAATCTACCAACTGTTTGTGATCCGTATATAATAAAAACTTTTGACCCAATAAATACTCTCTACACTTAGTCAAAGCAAACCTGGCTAAAGCTTCCTTTTCTATTGTTGAGTAATTAATTCAGTACTATTAAAATGTCTGGACAAAAATAAAATTGGCTTCTCTACATTATCAACAATTTGTAATAAAGCTCCTCCTATACATTCATTAGATGCATCCACTGCGAATATAATATTTAATGTCTCATTAAAACAATTCAGAATCGGGTTTTCTACTACCCTCATCCTTAATATTTCAAAACTTTTATCATGTATAACTCCTCATTCAAATTTTTTATCTTTCTTCAATAACTTATACAACGGTGTGGCTATCGCTGCAAAATTCTGTATGAACGATGATGATAATTAGCAGCTCCTAAAAACGCTTGTAATCATTTCCTTATTATATGTCCTAAATACGTTATTTCATTTACTCCAAAAACATATTTTTATATTAGCTCTTAAACCATTTTCTAAAATTATGTTTAACCTTATTAATCTCGTATTATGCTCCTGTTGTTCTTTTCTACCTGATATCAAAACATCGTCTAAATAATACATGATTTCACTTAATACTTGGAATAAAGCAGCCATCGTTCTTTGAAAAATTGGGGCAGATACTTTCAGCCCATAAGGCAATCGGCAGAATGCAAACAACCATCTATGTGTTGTAATTGTTAAAATTTTACTTGTCTCATTCACCTTAATCTCTAAATAACATTAGAAAAATCTATCTTCGAAAAAAATGTCACTCCTGTTAGATTAGCCAATAATTGCTCTATTCTTGGTAAAGAATATTTCATTGTTATTATCACGGGTTTACCGATATCCTATAATCTATGCATAATCTCAAGCTTTTATCTGGTTTTCTTATGGGAACTAACGGTGTCGCCCAGATCTTCTTAAGCCACAAAATTTAGCCTAGTAGTTTATAATTTTATATCCTCTTCAACATTTTTTGGAGTACCTAATTTCTCTTTAAAAACATTCTTATAGTGATTTAAAATATTATTTATTTCATGGCAGAATACTTTCAACAATCTCCTTCGTTTCTACTTTATTCTTACTTACTGTTTGTTGATTTCGACTGGAGTTACCTCTATTAAAATTATATCTCTTTATAAATTATTATCTTCTATTTTACTTCTATTTTACTTCTATTTTACTTCTATTTTACTTCTATTTTACTTCTATATCTAATCAAAAATTCTGGTGTTCGATTTCTCAGTTTATCGAGAACTAAATCTTCTTTAACTTCTATATTAGGTAACTTAATCTTATCGATATCACTCTTTATTATTCCTCTATTTACCTTGTTAATTTCGGAGACAATTTCAAAAAAAATCCACCAATTATAGTCAGGACCTCTTGTCTTTATGTCGCACCAACCTAAAATTGGCTCAATTTTTAACTTTGTTATACATAACGTTATATTCTTATTAATTCCAGAGAATTATATCATATAATAACCGAAAACTTTAACTATGCTACCATCTTATTGTCTGACTCTTATATTTTTTTTACAACGAATTCTTTTTATGGACAAAATTTATTAAAATCTTTTACACTCATAAGTCTAATTTTAGCTCCTGTATCTATTAAAAAACACATTTCTGCTTTTTCTATTTTTATTTTAATTCTCGGGAATTTCTTTTTCTATTTTCTAATTCAACCTTTCGCACATCTTCGCAACTCAAATTATTTGTCCTATATATTTCTAAATTCAGATTTCTATATTTATATCTCTTGTTTTATCTGTAATTTTATTCTTATCACTTGATTTATAATTAAATAAATTAGAAAAATTATTATTATCAAACATGTTATCATTAAAAATAAATTTCTTTTCTACTAGTCAATTCTTACACCTGTCTTGTGTATATCCATCTTGACCGCATTTGTTACACCTAAATAAAAAATTGTTCACTATATATTTTATAGTTGGTAATTCTTATTCTTAACACATTTCGCGCATTTTAAATCTTTAGTTAATTCACATTGTGGCTGCATATGACCAGGCTGACGACAACTATAACAATTAAAATGTCTCATGTTTGTACTGTCTTAAATTATCTTTTTCTATTATCAATTTTTAACTTCCTCAAATTTTTCCATCAATTCTCATACATGTCGTATTTCTTCCTATGCTTATTCCTAAAGCGAAATTTAAAAATATGATCACTATTAAAATCAAAGCAATATTATTAATTAAAATATCTACAAAATTAAACTGATTTATGTACATCTATAAAGAGTTAACTTGCTAACGAGTTAACATTAATTTAACTAATTTAAAAAAATTAATTGCATATAAGAAAATTAATAAGCTTAATGCTAATATATCTTTTATATATAGTGAAATCTTAAGGTGACTGGTATAATTTTTATTTTTATTTTTCTCACTCCGGCACCACTTTTCAAAGACGTGGTACTGGACTGAATGAATTTAAACAAAATAATTAAATATTTCAACTTTGTTTTAAGAAAAACCCGAAATAATAATTTTTTATATAAAAAGTAATATTATATATTACAAACCTTTATAAACATTTGCATAGTCCTCCAAATTGTATGAAACAAAACTTAATAATATACTCCAAAAATTGTGAATAAAACAAACACATAAAAAATGGAATAATCCACACAAAGTAAAACATAAAATTAACAGGTCTTGAACAGTCTCTATTATTTTATTAATGATCCATTTCTGTAACTCTTTTATAATTTTATTAATTCTTGGTGTGGTTTTTTTTGGAGAGATTATTTTAGGTGTAGTATCTTGTTTTAAATGTAGGCGAATGTTTAATATCATCATATTAGTTTTTTTTATTACATCCCAATTATGGTCTAGGCGCCGTTTTATCACATCTGTTTATAATACTGAAAAACCTGTGTTCTCTCTTCACGGATACTCTCAAAAACTGAACAAAATTATTCTCAAATAGTTAAAAATCATTTTCAATCTAAATAAATTCAAACAACGCTAAATGAGACTGTAAATTGAAATAGTGATATCCTATTAAAAATACCCATAAAAAAGGGCCAAATGCTTGTGATTACCCTTAATCGACCCATATGACATGCCAAATAGGGAATCTTTTACAACCTACAACAGAGTTATGATGAAACGTCAAAAAAATGGTTTACAAAAGAAAATCTAAGATTAGAGACTAATCAAAATCCAGTGTAAACAAATTATTTGATTTTTAGAAAATACGTGGCCTGCAAAAGTACATACACATGTAGAACATTCCTGAATCATTCGAATGCAACAATTCGCACGTCTACATATATGGTGTCCCAAAGTAAATAATGATATATTAAAATACAGTCGTAATTAGCGCATGTCATCAAAATTATCGATACAACTAACGAAAAGACAACGGAATTACCCAAGTCAGCCTATTGCCAGAGTACATATCAATTTCGCGGGCCCGTATACGGATAATTATGGTTACTCCTTACAGACCTTCCGGCTGAATTCAGCTTAAACCCCATCTTATAAGAAAATGAGGGTAGAATTCGGCTGAGTGCATTGATCTTTACGGCTTTGCACTCGTTGCTTTATTAATAATTCAATATGATACAATAATATACACCAAAAAATTTTTAGTATAAAAGGCAACGCCAAAATAAAATATATGTAAAATGGCGAATAGAGTATAGACAAATATAAAATCAAAAACAATGACTGCAGATGGTTGTATAAAATATTATAAATATATATATAAATTATTAATAGGGTTGAATGAGTTCCAATCATCTTGTAGTTGTTTTCAAAAATTTTCGGTTCGAGTTCGCTTGAGTGTATGAATATTTCGTTGAGGACCTAAGTAGTAGTGGTAGGATTTGTAAGTCGGGATAGCAGCGAGAAAGTATTGATGGTTTCAAACTCCCATGAAAGAATGGATGTGAGCTGGAGTTGAATCTTGGTTGAATAGAATTTGAGCGGCTCTGTTACTCACCCAAGTTCTGAATGGGTCATCTACGGGGATGTCCTCCCTGGGAATCCATTTATTGTTTTGAGATAGCCGTAAAATGGAAGGTTTAATTTACATATGATTTGTGTGAGGACAATTCCGATTGATAAGG